AGCCGGCCCCCTCCCCGCCGCCGGCCTCGGGCCGCCCCTGCGCGCCCCCTCCAGATCCGGCCCGCGGCTCCCCTCCCGGCCCCCCCAGCCCCACGCTCAAGTCCACAAGTCCGCCCGCTTCCTGCGCCCGCCGCGGCCCTTCCCGGGGCGCCGCCGCTGCCGCCGCCTGGTGAGCGAGGCAATCCGGCCCGGCCCGGGGTTTTCAGGGTTCCGGTGGGGGCGCCGGTTCCCTTCCCCGCTCCCTCTTCCAGTCCCCGAAAAGGGTGGGTAGGTGGGTGGTCGCCCGAGCGAAGTTTCTAGCGCTGGATTCCTGCGAAATTACGACGGCTCACCAGCTCCTGTGTTTTGCTGTTTCTCTCCCTTTTTCCTGCTCCCTGTCTCTTTCCTCCCCTTTCCCCCACTCCCCACTCCTTCAAAGGCCGAAAAGACAAGCGAAACCGGCCGCAGACGAAGGCTTTTGGGATTGTAGCGTCTGCACCTTCAGAAACAGCGCTGAAGCTTTTAAATGCAGCATCTGCGATGTGAGGAAAGGCACCTCCACCAGGTACTCGGAGATGTGATACCTTTTGTTAAAGGGTGGGGGAGAGGGTAGCGTGCCATACTTTTGCCCTCTTTCCAACTTGTTGATTACGGCCTTTTCTGCATTTGGGGGTGGGTGATATGTGTTTTGGGTTGTGTGTATTTCGCGTTGGGTGCAAAGCCTCGTGCTCACTAAATGATTTATGGCAGGGAATTTTTCCAGGTTTTCGTCCTATTTCAGACACTGTATTTATTCGACACTTGTATCCATTGGCTTTTTGGTATTGGCGTGGAAAGAGAAGAAGCAGGGCTGTTTACTATGGATTGTAGGACATTAGACCTTTGTATTTTCGCCATGTGCAGAATGGTTTTAATTTACTTGACCTGAATTATTATTTTTTTTCTCTGAAAAATTTTGGTGCTGGTATCACAGTAAGGCTGCTAGTGTTTTTCCAATCTTGAGCAGCAAATGTCTGTTATTTTCTTGCAGTTGGAAATGTTGGGGTTTGATAAAGAAAGTGCATTTTTTGGAAGGCTGAACTGTCAGGTTTTTTTTGATTAGCTTATGTAGTGGTGATGGAGGACGATTTTGCAAAATGGTGAAATGAATAGGATGACTATATTGAAGTTTGTGTTTAAAGCTTTATTATGATGAAAAGAGTGTTGGAAGAATTCCTTTCCATTTAGATAAAGGTAGTAAGCTGCATGTGGTATCAAAACGAGTTGAACTACTCTAGATTTAACATTTAGATATACTTGAATAAAATGTCAAGACTGATTTTGTAGTCTTCCAGTAATCTTTTAGCTTGTATCTGGAATTTGTTTCAGTGATGTCAGAGTTTGAAGTTAAACTATTCTTAGTGTCATTTAACGGACAGGCATTGGGGTGTGTGTGAAGGTGAGACAGAATGAGAGTTCTTGGTGGATCCTTTAGGACTTGAAGTTGATTGCCGAAGTCTCATTTAATCAGGTACTTGTTTTTGAATTGGTGGCATTCCAGTGACTGTGTAGTAGTAGTACTCCACAGATTCAACTGGTATTGTTCTTTGACTTAAATGAATGTGTCTTGTTAAGATTTCATTGCTTTATTTATACTTGGGACTAAATGGCATATTGGACAACCTAAAAGGATATAACTTTGGGATTAATTGGCCCAATTACAGGTAAGACAGCTCTGTGAATTCCACTTACTGAATAATGAGACCTTTGAATACAAATACTTAAGAACTATAAAAATATTTCCCATGAGTGTTTTTTTAAGTAAGTGTATGCCAGCTTTTTGTATTATCATAGGACATATTTATTTAAAATAAAAAACACACATCGGTGGTTTCACAGATTTTGTTTTGCTATCCAAAGTAGGGAATTCCGTCAAATGGCATGCAAGTTAAGAAATGTATTGGTTATTTAAAGCAATAGCGATTGTATATTTTTTATGAGTAATGTTTTTTACATGTAGAATCCCTCAGAGGCCAAACCTCTTTATTGTGGTTTTGGTTTGAGTATTACCGTAGATGATGTTGAAGTAAATGACTAGGAAACTCCTAAGAACTTGAGAACCTTACTGGTGAAGAGAAACTTAAACCATGTTCGGTTTACATTTGATTTATTGCTGGGAATAATTGTCTCATAATGAAATGCACTTTAGTTTCTACATGCATTTAAACAATCTGACTCATCAAATTTTTGGAAGCATGTGGAAGGACTTTAAAAAAATGTAAAAACTTTAAGAAAGTTTTTTCAGAGTCACAGATGATGACAGTGAAATTCAGTTTTTAAACAAATTTATTAGAATTTTTTTTAAATTTGTGTTTTCTTTTTTGGGGGAGGTGCAGCTGGCCAGTACTGGGATCTGAACCCTTGGAAATTTATTAAATTATTAATAATTAAAATATTTTAGAGTCTGTTCAGGAACAGGATACTCACCTACTGGCTTTAAGGGTCTTCATGTAATTTTTTTTTTTTTTTTTTTTAAAGATGACCGGTAAGGGGATCTTGGCTTGGTGTTGTCAGCACCACGCTCTCACAAGTGAGCTAACCAGCCATCTCTATATAGGGATCCGAACCTGTGGCCTTGGTTTTATCAGCACCACACTCTCCCCAGTGAGCCAAGGACTGGCCCATCTTCATGTAATTTCTTGATGTCTGTCAACAAGTAGGAGTAGGATTAGAACACAGATTTCACACATCTGAGGACATAAACTCATCAATTCATGATACTTTACTCTTACCTGGCCAAAGTTCATTTCAAAGTGGTTGTCAACATTCTGGTGTTTTAGGTCTGTTCAAAAGTCATCATTAATCAGAATGCAAATAACATTTTGGCTTTTCTACATTATAAACAGATACCATGTGGAGAAGTGAATTTGACAGGTTTTCATTGTGTACTATCCCTTGTATTATCTGTTGGTTAATTTGTGATGCTGGTTTTTTTCTTGGGCCTTTTTCTTTCTTTTTTTTTTTTTGTATCTCAAGTTTGGTATGAACTGGACGTTTTCTGTCACATATTAACTAGACTTGTATTGTTGGTAGTACAAAACTTGTTGGGTTTTGGATGCTGAGAAGTAGGCAAAATTTGTGATTTTAGAATAATTTGTTGACTGGCACAGAAATTGTGTTTAATTGCTCTGAGCTAGTGTTTTGTATTTTAACAGCCTTACCTAGTTGGCTAGCCAGTGGTTATTTTGGAATTTTTGATCATTCTTGTCATTATTGTCACCAGTCAACCAAGGAAACCATCTTTGAATTAGTGGTATTCCAGTAGGACACACAGACCTTTATTTGCCCTTTGAGGATAGAATTGGTACTCAGTTTGGTTAGGAAAATATTGCCATTTGTCCAAAGAGCAGGTATTAAATTACTAGGATGCTGAAGACTTTGGGAAGAGGAGGGGGGAATGTTAAAAGGTTGATAAGATGGGCCCAAATGTCCATAACTCAAGTCATAAACGCTCTATGAGGGGTACAGATAAAATGATATCAGAAGTCAGAGCAGTCTGGCTTGGGAAATCAATTTGAAGCATTCTCTCTCCTCCATTTCTTTTGGGCAAGTAGAATTGATTTCTGAAAAATCTGTCAACTTTTCACTACTATTTGCCATGTGTGTCAGATATTTTTAATTCTGCTTGTAGAATCGTGAAGTTGATTCAGAAAGAGATCTTTTTGGGCCGGCCCTGTGGCTCACTCGGGAGAGTGCGGTGATGATAACACCAAGGCCAGGGGTTCGGATCCCACATAGGGATGGCCGGTTAGCTCACTGGGTGAGCGTGGTGCTGACAACACCAGGTCAAGGGTTAAGATCCCCTTACCGGTCATCTTTTTAAAAAAAAAAAAGAAAGATCTTTTTTCCCCTTTTCTTTTGTAGCAGCATGGGGCAGAATGAAAGGAAGGTCAGAAGGTCCTAAGGAATATGTTAAGGGAAGAAGGAGGGGACACTTAACAGGCTACTTGGAGGTTCAGGGGACAGTAGAGGTCTATATTTTATATATGTTATCAATTATGTGTTGGTCTCTTTCGTTCTTTGATACTTCTTTTTCCAACTCTACTGTCCCACTATTTACCACTTGCTGGTTACTGTTTTTTTAAAAGCTTTATTGAGATATAATTTACACACCATAACATTCACCCACCGTAAGTGTGCAATTCAATGATTTCTAGTCATTTAAAGAGTTGTGCAGCCACCAGAATCTAGAGAACATTTCCATTGCATCAAATGGTTTCCTCATCATGCACATTCTTTTTTTTTTTTAAAAGATGACCGGTAAGGGGATCCCAACCCTTGACTTGGTGTTGTCAGCACCACGCTCAGCCAGTGAGCGAACCGGCAATCCCTATGTGGGATCCGAACCCGGGGCCTTGGTGTTATCAGCACCGCACTCTCCCGAGTGAGCCACGGGCCGGCCCCCTCATCATGCACATTCTGTGATATACTTTTAAATCTTTAACATAGCTTGGAGGAGTCATGGGCAGCTGGGAAGGTTGCTTCCCCACCATGCTGATGTACTCTAAGCCTTTCAGGGTAGAAAATAAAGGACTGTATGTTAAAGTGTGTGTGTAAAGTGGCAGATGGGTGGGGAAGAAACACTATCCCTTTCCTAGGTGATAACTAAAGTAGTATTTCCCATCCTGCTTTACCAGTTTCAAGAAAGAGGATACCAGCTTTTAAAGATGAAGGAAAAACACACCTACAAATGCATGAGTTTACTTAATTTATTCTGTTATGTTGAAGTTCTCAAGTGTTGGGCACAGTAACTTCCTAGACTTGGGATGTTAGATATATTTTCTGTGGTTTTGTTTTTTCTCTGAATGCAGTGTTATCTTTATTGTAAAATAAAAATTACTAAGACATTCCTGCATATTCTTGTTGCATATTCTACTATTTCTTTGATAGTAGAACTACATTTTTACCCTCAGCTAACTGCTTAAATCACACTCACTTGAAAAATTGGAAAATTTTTGCTTGAGATAATTACAGATTTAGAGCTTTTCTAGTGTTTTCTAATCTTTAACTCTTTAGATTTTATCAGTGTTGAATTGAAATCATGGTTTATTTGAATACTGCTCCTCTGAAAAGTTTACTGTTTTTAGAGCTTTTTTAGACATGTAGAAGTGAGGAAATTATTTCTGATGTGTAATAAGATGGTGTAGAAATCACTAACTTTTAAAAAAAGGTGATACTTAGGATATTGAAATGGAAGGGTTGCAGAAGCAGCTGTTTTGTGCGTAAAACATTTTCCTCGTTTGGGAACTCCCTGATTTTTTGCAGGTTGTTACTTTGGACTTTTTCCTCTACTTTATTTAGTTCATATATCCTGACAACTCATAAATCTCTTAAATGGTCATGAAGTATTTTAGAAATTTTATGGAAAACCACAACAAAAGAGCATCATCTTGTGAAGCTTTTCAGATAGGTAAACTGCCAGAAAGAAGAGGAGGTACCTACACTGGGGCAGAGCCAGGCCTCTCAGCCATGTTCCCTGGTAATCCACAACAGTGGTTTTGCTCCTTAGGTCTCATTAGTTTTGCT